CGAGGTCCGCTGGTACAAGGACAACCTCCCACTGACTAGCCCGGACTACGAGACCCGTTTCCTGAACGGTCAAGCCACGCTGACCATCGAGGAGACCTTCTCTGAGGACACGGCCAGATACACCTGCCGCTTCACCAACGAGGCCGGCATGGCTGAATCTTCCGCCTACCTCACTGTCAAAGGTAAGTTACTGAATGTCCTTGGCCTTGACCTATCTCACTGTCAAAGGTAAGTTAGCAAACGTCCTTGAACTTTTGTGGTCAAAGTAAACCCCCCAAACGTCCTTGACCTATCTCACGAGTCAAAGTTCAATACACAAACCTCCATGACCGCAAACATAGCAGCATTCGTACATAACAACAACATTTCCAAGTTCTGCAGATTTTACTGTCCGTGCTAGACTGTTCGTCAAATCTTTCGTTCTTGTGAAGACTACGGGACCCAGGTTATAATTCCACTGTTATTGTACCCAACCCTTCAATTGTGTAAAATTTTGTATTGACTTGTCTCGTCTCCGTAAATTCCCATTTTCGACTTTGTGTCCTACACATTATATGTATCTGTATTCCTTTTATAGTCAACATCATTACTAATTCTCAGATTCCTTTTTTCCTAAATCAGTACACACAAATGTGTGTATTCGAGGTCTATCTTGTATCACTGTACTCTGCTCTAAACAATGTATCAACTTTTAACAATGGGCTTGAGAGGTATGCCTATCTCACCATCATTAAATGAACATGATCATGTCCCATGTATATCCATATTATGGCTAGACTAGGCCTAATACTCTCCAATTAACATACCGTTCTCCCGTCCCTTGTTTCCATCGAACTCAAGGATACCATACTTTACAGAAAGGAAGTACTCATTACTTTGCAGACAGGGATGAGTGCTCATTTAAATGACAGTTGCTAAATCTCCTTTTCTTTGTGCTTTTGGATATATTTTTCGTTGATAATTATAAAAACACCAAAACTCGCAAAGTTGAGACATTAGAACTCGCTAAATTTACATTCGTTGGACAAATTTTTTCCCTAAAGAAAGGCATACGGTGGAAAGTGCTGCGATTAAGATGCACAATGTCTGATACCTGGAAAGAAACTATCACACAACTAAAACATGACAACCGAAGATTCTCCCTGCGCTGAGCTGTGAAACCACAAGAAGACTATGATGTACTGTGTTGTGCGTTGTCTGTGTCACTTAGTGTGAACGTGTCACCCTCTCAGTCAGTCCACCACCCCCCCCCTCCCAACTCCCTCATTCCATCATTAATACTGTCTTCTCTGTGTCTACTTCCTCCGTCTTCCTGTCAAATACATGTATTTATCGTGATCTCCTCCCCCTCCCCTCCCCTCCCCTCCTCCGTACGTTCACATTCCACCCCTCTCCCTCCCCCCCTACAAATCTCCCCATCACTTCCTGTATACCTCCTCATCTTCCCCTTCCCCCCGCGTCCATCCCTCCTCCATCCCTCCCTCCCTCCCTCTGACCGGCCGTTGCGTTATACCACCACACAGAGACCCACCAACAGATTATCCCCCCTGAGTTCACCAAAAATCTCAAGTCGGTGGAGCTGGGCGAGGGCTCCCCCCAGGCCTTCGAGTGTCATGTGCTGGGCCTGCCCTCGCCCACGGTGTCCTGGTTCAAGGACGAGATCAACATCGACAACTCTCCGGAGTTCATCATTACCAAAATCAATGGCGCCTGCTGCCTGAAGATCCGCCAAGCGAAACGTCATCACGCCGCGCGCTACACGTGCCGCGCGCTCAACCCTGGCGGGGAGGCGTCGTCCTCTGCTAGACTCACTGTCATACGTAAGGAGTCGTGGATGAGCCCGCTACCTACTACACCACCCTACTGTGTGCACGTCCACTCC